ACGAGTTTGATTCCCGACAATGGCTGATATCACCGGTGAGTGATCTTCTGAACCGGTCCTGAGCCTCGCCAAGGTCCGCTCGGCCTCAAACGAGTGCCTGGTGGTGCTGTCGTAGTGTCCCGTAAACATCAGCACCGGGGAGACAAAGGCGGCCGGGCGCGGTGCTGGCCACCCAACCCCGTCGTGTGCCGTTTTGGCCTTGGTCGGTGCTGCTCGCTAACAGCACTTGCCCCAACAGTCTGTTGAGGCTACACGGGTGGTCTTTGGTGGTGGTGGTGAGGGTCCCCAAGGGGAGGGGTTTACGTGACGGACGACAACTGGGCAAAGCCATCAGCCCTGCCGTGGTGGTAGTGGGGGGGGTCCCCAGGGCAGGGGGGTCCCCAAGGGTTTACGTAACGGACGACAACTGGGCAAAGCCACCAGCCCTGCCGTGGTGGTTAGTGGGGGTCCTCAAGGGGTTTGCGTGACGGACGACAACTGGGCAAAGCCACCAGCCCTGCCCGTGGTGGTCGTGAGGGGGTCCCCAAGGGGTTTACGTGACGGACGACAACTGGGCAAAGCCACCAGCCCTGCAATTTCCCTCTGAAGGTGCTGTCCAGGATGGAGGGAGCTCTCTAGAGCACAGCTAGAGTGGTGGGTGCTTGGCCTGCTCTTCCACATCGACCGGTAACGTCTGGGAAAAGGTGGGAATGGCCCACGCTTGTTTGCCTACCGCACGTGACCTGCCGTGTCTCGCTTTCAGGAGGGTACTGCCGCATTTTAGAATCATAATATTTGTTGATACTGCAGAAGGAATCCGATGAGCTATGAAGCTCTTTTTTTTACTCACAGATGTCCCAGTAGGGGCACGGGGTGATAACGTTACAACGACACACACAAAAAAAGACAGATAAACACATCACCCAGACACATGACAAATACGACACTCAACCATCCGACATCCTACCAGGGCAAAGCCCCGCCGTTGGTGTGAACTTATTATTCAGAAGCTCAACAAAGTGGCCCCCCATCATTTGGACGTCCATGGCAGCCAAAGTCATCGAAAAACCGGAGGTCCTGGAGAAGGCTCACCCATACCACCAGCGCACTGCACGGATGGATTCACGAATCTAGAACACTGCACAGATGGATTCACGAATCCAGCACACTGCACAGATGTATTCACGAGAAATGTAACGTCTTGTCTTGAGATTTTAGAATGTCGAATTAAACGTGAAAATAAATGTAACACCCCTATTTAAAAATACGTGACCGGGCTGTTGATCGTGTTGTTTTGTTACAGAATTAAGACTTACACGTGAGAAATATCAAACGTTATGCGACTCCTATATATTTATATATCCTAGAAATTTATAAGAATTTCCCATAAGACTCGGAAGGGCTGGGCCAACTCCTCATGCCCATATATGGAAGTGGCTTTTGTGGGCGTTACCAGGAGGGATGTGGGGAGGAGGGACCGGAAACGGGCGTGGTTAATGCTAATCTGTGTAAATATGCTAATTAGGGGAGGGGCGAAAACGCCTCTCCGAATTCGGTCAATAACCCTCGACTTAAAGCTTTCGTGACTGCAGGAATTCATATTATTTGGGTCTTTCGGTAAGGGGCCGTCCATAAATGACGTCACGCGATTTTGGACGATTTTTGACCCTCGCCCTCTCGTCACACGACGTCACAAAAAGTCAGATATGACGTCACAAAGCTCTGCCCCCCCATCCCCCTCAAAACCATATTTCCATTTTGAAAATTAAACACGCTTCAAATCGCTTTGAACTATTGTCACTGTAGTGCGTATTTAATGTGGCGCTGCACTCTTATATTGTAGGAGAAAACATTTATTAAAAAGTATATTTAATTAAGTAGAACGTTTTGATTTAAAGCTTTCGTGACTGCAGGAATTCATATTCTTGGTTCTTTCGGTAAAGTCACCACCACGTAGAAGGGAAACAATCAAATAATAAAAATATAAAACAATAAAATTCTCACGACGTTTCGACTGCAACACAAGCAATCATCATCAGGTGTGGTTTTCACACCTGATGATGATTGTGAAACCACACCTGATGATGATTGCTTGTGTTGCAGTCGAAACGTCATCAGGTGTGGTTTTCACACCTGATAATGATTGTTTGTGTTGCAGTAGAAACGTCGTGAGAATTTTATTGTTTTATATTTTTTATATTTTATTGTTTCCCTTCTACGTGGTGACTTTACCGAAAGAACCAAGAATATAAGTAGAACGTGTTGTCTATATTTATTTATAAAGTTGCGCATTTTGATGTGACGTCATATTTCTCAAACCCCCCCCCCCCCATTCGTCACACATCGTCACAAATGTCTGACCCCCCCCCACCCCAGGTGAATGACGTCATTTATGGACGGCCCCTTTTCATGACTTGGGTCTTTCGGTAAAGTCACGTAGAGATAGGTTAAAAAAATAAAAAAATAACAAACAAAAAAACTCCGATGTTTCGATCGCAGCACGATCGTTCGTCATCAGGAATTTAAAAAAATAAAGACGAACGCTCGTGTCGTAGTTTTTTGTTGTTATTTTCTTTGAGGCTCTTGATTTGAAAGCGGATTTCTTTGAAACCTTATCGACGTGACTTTACCGAAAGACCCAAGAATAGGGTCAATAACCTCTTTGACAAAACAAATATGTAAGAATAGATTTTACCCTTTCGAGGAATAACACACACGAGGTGAATTCAAATGTTCAAACCACCAAATAGATTGTAGCCTTCGCAAGGGATCAAGTTACTCCGTGTCTGTGTGTTGTCCCTCTCTCTCAAATTTAGCAATCTTTGGAAGAAAGTTAATCGACCAGGTAGGGTGTTGAATGTTACGTTAGCCGACTATCTGTGTTGCATTGCATTATATTTCTAAGTTTACTAGGTTTCATATTTTGATTTAAAGCTTTCGTGACTGCAGGGATTCATATTCTTGGTTCTTTCGGTAAAGTCACCACGTAGAAGGGAAACAATAAAATAATAACATTCTAAAAAATATTGTTTTATATTTTATTGAAAAATATTGTTTCATATTTTTATAAAAAAATATTATTTTATATTTTTATTATTTTATTACTTAAATATATAGGTTTCATATTTTTGGTTCTTTCGGTAAAGTCACCACGTAGAAGGCAAACAATAAAATAATAAAAAATATAAAACGATAAAATTCTCACGACGTTTCGACTGCAACACGAGCAATCATCATCAGGTGTGAAAACCACAGCAAGAAATGTTTTTTAAAAAATGTGTGTTGCAGTCGAAACGTCGTGAGAATTTTATTATTTTTTATTTGTATTATTTGGTTGTTTCCCTATCTACGTGGTGACTTTACCGAAAGAACCAAAACTATGAATCCCTGCAGTCACGAAAGCTTTAAATCAAAATATACTACGTTTGTTTTCGCCTTCATTTGTACCTGATGACGATTGCTTGTGTTGCAATCGAAACGTCGTATGCTATTATTTAATACTTTTTTTCTTTCTACGTGACTTTACCGAAAGAACCAAAGCGTGTACCCAATGTTGTTGACGGCGGTGTTTTTGTTGTCGCGTTGTGCCAGTGGTGGTTGCACAGACAACCACGACAACTCGACTCACATCCGTGTCAACATCGGAATCTGAATGTTTATTACAGCAGGAGGAATCCGATGAGCCATGAAGCTCTTTTTACTCACGGATGTCCAGTATAGGGGGACACGTGCATCTGTGGGAGCTTAAATGGGACAAATGTATTATAGGCGACGTTTCGGGCAATGACCATTCATCGTAACACAATGTGTATGTGCCATTAGGCCAGTGTTATTGAGATGTTGACGACCTCGCCTGGATATGCCGAAGGTCGTGGGTTCAATCCCGACCCTGACGCCTGCTGTATATTTGGAGTTTGCGTGTGGCTAGGAGATGTTAACTCTCTCGCCTGCTATACAGGAGGTCGTGGGTTCGATCCCGACCCTGACGCCTGCTGTATATTTGGAGTTTGCAAGTGGCTAGGAGATGTTAACTCTCTCGCCTGCTATACAGGAGGTCGTGGGTTCGATCCCGACCCTGACGCCTGCTGTATATTTGAAGTTTGCATGTGGCTAGGAGATGTTAACTACCTCGTCTGGTGTACAGGAGGTCGTGGGTTCGATCCCAGCCCTGACGCCTGCTATATATTTGGAGTTTGCATGTGGCTAGGAGATGTTAACTACCTCGCCTGGTATACAGGAGGTCGTGGGTTCGATCCCAACCCTGATGCCTGCTGTATATTTGGAGTTTGTGTGTGGCTAGGTAGATGTTAACTACCTCGCCTGGTATACAGGAGGTCGTGGGCACGACCCTGACGGCCTGCTGGTTTTCACACATGATGATGATGTCGTGAGAATTTTATTGTTTTATATTTATTATTTTATTGTTTCCCTTCTACGTCACTTTACCGAAAGAACCAAGAACATGTATTTTATTGTTGTCACGTTCTTGCCCGGTGAGACAAAAGAGCTTTATAGCTCCTCGGATTCCTCATGCAGCATCAATCAATATTCCGATTCTGAATTTGCGGCGGTACCCTCACTGAGGCATCGAATTTGCGTCTTGGTTAAAACGTCGGGCGTGGCGAGACAGACAGATGTCGCCAATTTTTTGGTTCGATCTCGCAAAGATTTGAAACGGGTGGAGATTTAATGAGAGGCATGGGTTAAATCCGGCACGAGAGGGGGCGTGGTTAATATTCAAGGAGGCGTGGTCATACTTAAGGATGGGGCGGGGTTAATATTTAAGGAGGCGTGGTGATACTCAAAGCGGCGTGGTTATATTTAAGGGGGTGTAACTATATTTAAGGGGGCGGGGTCCGCGCGACCGGGAGTGGGCGTGGCCGATATCATTTGCGGGCGTGATCAATCCCCGAGAGGGGCGGGCAAGGGGAGGTCGGCGTCCAATCGCGTGGTCACTCTCGCGTGTGGGCGTGGCGAGTGTGCGGGGCGGTGGGGGGGGGGCGGAGTCATATAAATAGCGGTGGAGGATGAGGCGGGGTGGATGTCCTTGCGAGAGAAGCCTCTCGGGCTTGAGGTCTCCCGGTGTCTCGTCTCCCTCTTACCCCCCCTCCCCCCCGTGTCTCTCTCTCAGTGTCTCTATCTCAGTGTGTCTCTCCGTGTCTCTCTCTCTCTCTCCGTCCTCCGTGTCTCGTCCCTGACCTGTCCGTGTCTTCCGGTGTCTCGCCCTTCTGTCGTCCCGCTTGGCTGCGTGCGTTTGAGTGTCTTCCTGTTTTGGTGTGTGTGTAGTTGCGTCCGTCCGCGTGTGTGTCTTCTGTCAGACTCACCTGAGTGTGTGTCTGTGTATTGGTGTGTGTGTGTCTGTGTGTCTATCCGTGTGTGTGTGTACGTGCCTGTCTGTGTTTGTCTTGTCACATCCTGTCGTGTCCCTTCCCCCCCCCCCACCCCTGTGTAGCTGTCTGTCTGTGTCTCTGTGTTGTGTCCCCGTGTCTCTCTAGGTCTGTGTGTGTCTCTCTCTCTCTGTGGTTAACCCACGTGTTCCCGTAAGGGCAGCGTAGGGGGCCCCCAAAGCACATCACGTATGGAGACTAAGCCATATTTTCGTTTTGGTAAGCGAACTACTTGCATCATGTTTGCATGTATACACACACACAGTAATTACATGTTACATTGTGTGTATGTGTGTAGCAATTGGAGTGTATCAGGTCGTATTGTGGCGTTGCATGCATTGTGCGAATTGTCCAGTGTGTAATTCCGCACAACAAGATGCATTTTTTTTAAATCCTACGTGGTTTGTGTATAGTGTCTTGAAAGCTGCACTGATGTATCTCATGAATCTACGCGTTAATGTACGTGTGTATAACGTCTTTAAGGAGAGTGCGTTGAATTATGCATTCAACGTGTGTGCATCCTGCACGGTTAATATCACACGCTATACTGTACGTGAATACGTGTAAAGGTTACTCGCGAAACGTCGTACTTTGTGTCTTGTTAAACGTTGTGGCTTTTGCTCTCCCAGGAACGAATTGGGCACGTTCCGTTTACGTGACGAATCTTACTAATTTGCTGCGTCGGGTGGTGGCGGGTTTAACGACACAATTTACGCGATATAACCCCAACAAACCTGGATGTGCGCGCTATATTGAACCACAATTATATTAATTATATTATATGCAGCGCGTACTTCACAATGCACCATACATTGCAGATTAATAGCGCCAACTGTATATTACGCTAGACATTATAATAAGTGTTATAGTATTCATATTCTCGGTTATTTCGGTAAAGTCACGTCACATTATTCGTCACATAATAATAATTCACTGCGCGTGTATATATATGAGTTGTAATGTGCGCGTTGTTAAAAATTATTAAATGTTGTTGCGGGATAAGCGGGTTGGTGTGCAACTTTAACGCATTGCAAGTATATTGAATTTTTGTTTGTATATCATACATCCGAGCACGGGTACAGTTAAAGCACGCGCGTGTGTGCGTTGTTTAAAACGTTAATCTTTCTTGGGGTTGCTCGATCCACTGCTGGTTGGAGGCATCATCCGTATAACTAGTTGACATCGAAGCCGCGTGTGTACTTTGTATAAATCTGTATCTTGAGTATCCCGAGATCGTTAACTCGCTTTCCGCGATCGCAACTTTAACACGACCGAGTAGAAATGCCGCAAACAGGTACGCAAACAAATTTATTTTTTATTTTTTCTTTGCTTGTTAACAAAACGCTTATTCTGATGGGACACGCCAAAAAAAAAGGTGTGTGTTTGTTGTTAAAGAACGATGTGTTGAAGAACGATGACAGGCGCCAGTAACGAAACGTCGTCAACTCCTCAAGTCCGACGTTTTAATAAAACTAAAACTCCGGCTCGGCCGCAAAGTCTCATCTGCCGTGCGTAGAGAGGACGTCGGGCGTTACACAACGATAACAAGCGAACGCGGGAAGAAAAACAAAACACAACAAAAGCAACGGTGTAAAAAAAAACCAACAAAATTATAACGATTGTTTTCTGTTTACAATCGTTTAAAAAAAATTGTGTTGTTGTGTTTGAGGCGATGGGATGGTTTCTGCGGCCTGGGACGAAAACACTGAGAGATGGAGCCTTCGGTTAGCCTAGGCTGTGGTGACGTTAGTTTTTTTTTAATTGTTTTTGGAACATTAACAAAACGTCTTTTTTTTTTAAACCCGTCGACAAAGTTTACACCGAACGCGCGGTCCACGTGATGTTAATTGTCGTTGTAAATGTATATTTGAAAAAAAAAAATCGGAAATCTGTCGAAACTCTACGTTGCGCCGATCGGCGACTTGATTTTGAGGCCTAGCGGAGGCTTCGACGAAAAGTGATGGAAGTTAAAAAAAATAAACACTTCTTGTTGTTGTAGCTTTAAAAAAAACACACGATAAATAGAACGTTGTTTGTTTGCAATTATATTGTCTTAAACTTAAAGCGGTCGCTTTCGACGCGAACTGGAGGAGGATGAGGAGGGGAGGGCGTGAACAGCTTCACATTTTTTTGCAAAAAATAAACTCGGTGAGCGCTTTGACGCGTTTTTTTTTAAACAAATAATAACAACAATTGTTACACTTCAAACTTTAAACACGTTGACGGTGCCGTATACGAGCCATAGCGATGCATTCCTTGAGGCCCAGGGCGAAGTTTTCTTTTGGTTTGCTTGCGCGTTTGTTAGCGTTCGGTTTTTTTCCTTCTCTCTCGCCTTAACCGCATTACCGTACGTTATGTTTTTTGTTGTTGCTGTTGCTTTTGATCGCCTCTAACTCCCTTAAACGTGTCTATAAAAGTTACCGTGCGAGCATTCGAAGTCTCTCTGTCGTCACACACACACACACAACAACCCCCTACCTACCACACACAACCCCGTACATTGCCCGTGTATATCGACGGGCCCTATGGGCGCCTGCGATGACTTACTTTGTTACGCGCGTATAACGTTTAATAGGCTTATTTTGCTTCGGTATTATTGATAATAATTGTGTAAATGTCGTGTGTTTTTAAAAAAAATGTGTATAATATTATACACGTGGTCATGTTGTGTCGGGCTGTGTACGTTGTTGCTGCGTGGAATGTCGCGCGTGTGTGTGTGTTGTTTCGTGTCCGCGGTCTAGTAGCAGTTCACGCGGTTAAAGTTTAGTTTCGCTGAGTGCATTAAGCATTAACGCCTTACCCAGCGTGTTAATAACCTTCGTGCACAATGACATCGGTACGTATTTGTACGATTTAAAGACTAACGATCCCTCCGGTAGAGCCTTTACAGACTGTTGGGGCAAGTGCTGTTAGCGAATAGCAAGCACCACCACCACCCCTTCGTGACCAGCAACCACGCCCGGCCGCCTTTGTGTCTCCCCCACCTACTCGGGTTGAGGCTGAGTAGACCTAGGAGAGGCCCAGCACGGGTTCAGATTAATAATCGTCACCTTGTGTTGACCGTGAGCGAGAATCGAACAGACGCGCATCAAGAAGTCACGCACGCACCCACACACACACACTTGAACACACACAGACAAAAGTTCCCCCTTGTATAGCCTCAACAGATTGTTGGGACAAGTGCTGTTAAGCGAGCAGCACATGTGAGAATGCTGGGACTGTACACGAGGGGCGATGTTGACTTACACGCCGCACCAGGTATAACTTCATTTGAGGGCTGAGTCGACCTAGGGGAGGCCCAGAACCGGTTCTGATAATCGTCCACTGCTCGTCGTCGGCCGTGAGAGGGAATCGAACTCTGAGGTCGCCGGGTTCGTAGTGTTGACCGCTGCACCACCGCTCCCCATACACGAATTTATCCCGTAGAGCCTGTAACAAACTATATATAGTAATAGGTTTTTACCCTTTTAGCTGGCACAAAAAACTGACACCTTTATACAAGGAGATCATGTTTGCAATAACCACAACACAAGCAGTCACAAATGTAAGCAAAAAGAGACAACTCTGATAATGATATTGGCACTGTCAGAGTTGTCTCTTTTTGTTTGCATTTTTGACTGCTTGTGTTGTGGTCATTGCAAACATGATCCCCTTGTATAAAGGTGTCAGTTTTTGTGCCAGCTGAAAGGGTAAAAACCTATATTCTTAGCTCTTTCGGTAAAGTCACGTTGAAGGGAAACAATAAAATAATAAAATATATGTAAAACAATAAAAAAATTTCTCACGACGTTTCGACCATAACACAAACGGTCGTCATCAGGTGTGTCGGTAAAAACCTATTATTATATATAGCTACTGGCAAAGGAGGTCTCATACCTGCAACAAACTGTTGGGGCAAGTGATGTTATTGAACACGTCCACGTACGTACACACACACACACGTGCAGTAGATCTCTGTAAAAACACAGCGCTGTTTTACTTTACGCGTGCGCCTAAAATTGTTTATTTTCTTTAATCATCAGAATCTTTGGATGCTAAGCCCCCGGGGGGGGTTCAGTGCAGCAAATGTGTAAACATGTAAAACCCACGCGTCTCTCTGTGCGGAAAGTTCGACTCTTGGGAGTGCAGCTGGTTGGCACGCCGCGCGCTATGAACCCCATGTGGCACTGGGACTTGGCTACGAACCAGAGTTCGATTCCCGCTCACGGCAGCCAACGCCGGTGACGATTATCTGAACCGGTTCTGGGCCTAACACTAGGCCGACTCGGCCTGAAATGAGTACCTGGTGCGGTGTGTCGTAAACATCGCCACTGGGGATGCAAAGGCGGTCGGGCGTGGTGCTGGCCACCCACCCCTCCTCGTGTGCCGTGCCGGCCTTCATAGGTGCTCGCTGACAGCACTTGCCGTAACAGTCTGTTAAGGCTACACGGGGGACCTTTGTCTTTATTGCGTACAGTTCGATGAGAGGAGTGCGTGGTGGGTTAGCGCTACGCTGCGCTATGAACCCTGGCACCAGAGTTCGATTCCCGTTCACGGCCGCTAACACGGGTGACGATTATCTGAACCAGTTCCGGGCCTCCCTTAGGTCGACTCGGCCTCAATTGAGTACCTGGTGCGGTGTGTAAGAAAACATCGCCACTGGGGAGACAAAGGCGGTCGGGCGTGGCGCTGGCCACCCACCCCTTCGTGTACCGTGCCGGCCTGCGTCGGTACTCGCTAACAGCACTTGCCCCAAACAGTCTGGGCAGGGCTGCTGCGGGGATCTTTGCCTTTGCAGTTCGTGTCAGGGGTGAATTTCGGTCAAATGATTCTCATACTTCGCAGGAGGTCGGGGAAAATAGCAAAGTGAAGTACGCAACCAATTGGATGCTGCTACGCTCTCAGTGCAAAGTTCACGGGGTATGTGCGTACCGTGCATTAATTCTAAAACGAAGACACGTACGGGTGTGTAACGTTTTGCAGAGAGTATGCATTGAATTATACAGTCGATGTGTTAATTAACATCGTGCGCTCTGCACGGTTAAGATGTGCAAATGCAGTAATACTGCGCGGTGCATCGTGCATGAATGTGTACGCTTTACTGAACCGCCAGTATATGCAGTGTATACTTCACGATGCACCGTACATTGCAAATGATTGTCCTTTGTAGATGACCACAATACGTTACACAATGAACATTGTTAATCGCGTCACGAACGGAGCTACATTGGGAGGACACT